GACTAATATGGTAGTGTTATGGAGTGCCGCCGAAGGACTGTTCCAATCTCCAGCATACTTGGAATTCCACCGAGGCCGCGTCCTTGGTTTTGGGGCAATTTCGAGGCTGCACATGGGTAGACTTCGCGTCCTTCAAATCCCCACAATGCTTTGAGCACGGACCAATTTTCCCAAATCTGTGGCGGAAAATGTAAGGCGGGGCCTCTCCTATGACGCGCACCTGCACACTTGCTAGCCTGTTCCACTCTTCGTTTTCCGAATGCCAGGAAGGATTCTTGCCTAGCTTCTGAAGGAAGTGACTCTGGAAGACATGTGCTACCAAGCAAGCATCCTCGCGATTGGGAAACGGCCCATGTGTGTGAAGAAGCAGGAAGTAAAAAGGAACTCACCTTGTGGTATTACCGGCAAGAGAGAAAGCCTTTGAGCTCCATACTGTTTCAGAGATAATCCTTGATAATCCATGATATGGCGTTTCATCACGGCAGTATTTAGTTTAGACAGTAGCTGCAGGGTCCCGCATGAGCTCAGACCACTCCTTTTTTTTTCTTAAAGCTTTATACCCCAAATCAGCACTTTACCTATCCCCAGTGAGGCATGGCAGTGGGTGATCTGTTTGGTATTTTGAGCAAAACACTTCATAGACATGTTTTTTATATATTTCTATATATTTGAGACCTATGCTATTGCCTAAAGATAGCACGATAGGTGACCTTTAAGTATTTTTGATTTATACTGATCAATTGGCCAATTTTTACTCCATTAAATCCCAGAGGTAAACTCCTACATTTTTGGCTGACAGCTTTATTTACTTTTATATAAACAAAAATATGACTATCTTACAGAATGTTATGTAGGTTAAACCACCCAACAGTATAAAGAGTAAACATTAGCAAAATCCTTCAACATGTAGTCTACAGAGGTAAAATGCTGAAAGATATGTATAAAATGTCTGTAATTTCTCTTTATATCCACTAAAGTTCAACAAGTTGGTGACATTTATTGGTATTTCATGTTAAATATTATAACATACTATTATTTTTATGTATTAGGGGAAAGTGTTTCTTATAGTGTGAAAACCACCAAAAATACCTCAAAAACTGGTTTGAAAAAAATCTGAGAATTGTTTAAAAATTCACGCAATTGGCGAAAAATGTCCAATTTTATTTTATTAATATTAAATGTTATTATTTATTGTAATAGAGTATTTTCCCACTGTGTTATACGTACTCTAACGGATCTAAAATACTTGTAAAAAAAGTTTATGACTACATTTTAACAAGCCTCTACAGTGTCAACATGATCATGTGACCCTCATGACGGAGGTCACCAGAGAAAACCTAAACATTAAAACCACCGTGTGTGTGTGTGTGTGTGTGTGTGTGTGTGTGTGTGTGTGTGTGTGTGTGTGTGTGTGTGTGTGTGTGTGTGTGTGTATGGGTAGAGTGATTGCTCCCTAACACCTGGTATTAGCACCAGTAATCCTCACACCACATCATACTCACGCACCAGTCCCATGCAGATCACATTCAGCTTTTTCCTGTCCCGCTTCAAGGTGTTTCTCAACTTGTCTTGGGGGG